CATCAAGCAAGCAGCATCATCCTCCTCATCGCTGAATCATGGCCATGAAGCCCAAGCCTTTCCCAGGCTGCCTCTGGCTGCCCATCCTTCAAGGAAGCAGAGATCTGGCAACCCACTAAAAAAGTAACACAGTGTTGTAGGGAATCAGGGCAAAAGGCAATGATGCTGCCATGCTCACTTGCCTGGGGTCTCGCTCAGATCTCCTCTCCCAGTGGTCTCTGTCCTGTCCTTTCACAGATGCTTCATCACAAGAGCTTATGAAGGCTGGAGGAGTTGGGCACTAACTGGGGGAAGCCTGGTAAAATATTGCTGTGACTGTTTCCTGTGGTACTGACAGTGAACCTGAACTGGGCTCTCTCACGCCTTTCAGAGCACATTATCCTGTTCCTCTGCCCCTGTGTCCCTTGGGAGCTGTGGTGCAAAGCTGGAGTAAAGCCTTGGGAAGAAGGAACAAGACCTTTGCCTGGGCCTGCGCTGCTGGTACAGACATGAGAGCTGTGTGGGCTCCAGTCTTGGATTTCTTCTGCTCCAAATACTGGCACTCAGGTCCCACTCAGAGGATTGCTGAACCCATCAAAGTCAGGCACCACTGCTGCCAAGTGCTCACAGCAGCACCTTTACCTCCTCCATACCTAGTAGCAGGGGATGGGCATCACGCTGAAGAGCCAAGGACAGCTCTGGAAAGTGCCAGGCAATCCCCAAATAGCTGTTAAACAGGCAAGGAGGGAACCATCTCCTCGAGGCATCTGTGCCACACGGACTGCCTTCAGCATGAAGCTCCCAGGCTGAGATCCAGTGTCTGTGGAATCCTGAGCTCAAAGCAGACTCAATAAAACCCCCATAAGTGAGGGCGATCAGGCTGCACAGCCAGCTGTGGCACAGGACATCAGCAGAGATCTCACTGCAGGAAGACCAACCAACCACACCCGAGACAGGTGTTCCTGTCCCCAAACTCAGAGCCACCAGAGCTCCTTCCCCAAAGAACAGTGGTGGAGAAACAAAATAAACACCCCACTGAAACCAGATTATTTCCCACATGCTATGATACAAGAACTAAGTGCAGCCTCTGTACTCTGGAACAGGGAGATCTTCTGCAAGGGGAAGAGAGGAACACACCCCTACACCCTGTCTGCCCTCAGCCCACATGGTCAGCCCAGCAGGTTCCACTTGCTTGTGCAGCTCCTCAGGACACCAGGGTGGGTGGAAGGGAAGGGACAGAGCCTGTGGGAAGTGTGCAGCCTCTGGGCTCATGTTTGGAGTTGAACACCATAAGCAATTCCCTTTGCAGCTCCTGTGGGGTTAACTGCGACTCCCTGACGCTTCAGCCACCGGTCAGGGCAGCTCTGGTCGTCCAGACCACATCAGCTGCTGGGACAAGGGCAGCTCAAGCAATACAAATTCCACAGTCAAAACCAATACAAGTAAGAAACCAAACCCAGAGAGAGTTTTCTGCTCCCTCCTGGAACAATGGCTGTCTTGGAAAATCGGACTCTGGGATTGTCCTGATCACATCAGTTAGTACATTCTAAACATTGTCCTGCTTTAAAGTGAAAATACTGTGTCTGGTCTTTTGGAGGGGCTAAAGCCAGATGTAGTGTTGTTTTTCCTGACTGTGCAGAGGAGCTGATACTGGTGCGAAATGATCCTCTTCACCTCTTCTCTATCAGAGCTTCTCCTGGAAGAAAACAGACCTTGTTAGGCAAAATGAGGGCAAACATAGAGGTCTTCTTCCTGAAGAGGACATTGAGGCATGGAGTGGAATGCCACCAGGCCTGCCATGTCCTGACCCACTGCTCTCCCAGGAGGTCACACTGCCTCTCCCTCAGGCATCCTGCCTGTGGGGAGACTAAATCTGAGGCTACAGGTCTCACCCTACCTCATGAAAACCGTGGGAGACCTGGACAGTGGCTCCCACAAGTGCCACCCATGTAAAGGGGACAGCAGAAATCTGAGACTGAGCAGGTTCTAGCTGGGCTACCAGGAGAACAGCTACACAGCACTGACCCAGGAGACTGCAGGGAAACTCCCTTCTCACTTCTTTTCCCAGGGCAAGCACCCATTGCACCTTGGTGTGCCCTTCACCAGCACCTTCCCCATGGCTGCAAGGGGTTTTTAGTGAGGTTCCCACCACACCTGGGAACTGGAATTGTGCAAAACCCTTTGCTTTCCCTGTGGGAATGGCACAGTCAAGCTTTGCTGGCAGAACTGCCCCCATCCAAGTGCTGCTCCCAGCACAGCAGGCAAGAAACCACACAAAGCAGTCACTGATTTAAACAACATTCTGCTCACAACTTACCTCTTGCTTGTTGGATTTATCCTGCTGGTGAATCCCGTTAGCAGACCCAGAATTTCCAACAGTCTGCAATGGAGAATGGACAATTCTTACTGAAGAGAGACACCCTGGTGGGTTTGCCTACAAGCACTGAAACCTGGCCATGTCCTTCCTTAGCTGCCACTGCATACAAGGAAAGGAGGATGCAAAAATCCCACCTCACTTCTAGCAAGAAGCTTCCAGCCCTCTGCACGCTGGCCCAATACCTACGTGCTGGATTGCATCCCTCTCAGCTACAAAGCATCCCCCTAGTTCCTTACAGACACAGAGCTGCTCTTTGCTTCCAGCTCTTAAATCCCCAAAACCCAAACGCTCGGCCCAGGGCAGTGTTAGCTGCAAAACACAGCACAGTCAACACCCAGCACTGAAAAGGACATTTGCCATTCCCTGCTTCCTATCTCCAGGGACAGGTCTGGAAGGCAGCACATGCTGTTCCATCTTTAGAAAGCACAAGAAGTTTTAAACATTTATCATGTTTCTTTAGCAGGAATAATATGGAGCCCTTCAGCTTCAAAATGACAGTACAGCTGGCACAAGCAAGGGAAGAAAGTTGCAGCCTGGAGTTCCAGTGTGCTAGATGCCAAGTGCTTGGGCCTTGGTAATCACATCCACAGTTGGTGGTGAACAAAGCACTAAAACCAGACATTATGGAAAGACAAAACTGCAGGGTTTAAAGCCTATCATTAGAGGGGTCCCAGCTATCCAGCTTCCATCCATACCAGGACCTTGAAGGTGCATCATCAACCCTAGAGCATAGAGGTTAGTCTGGGCAAGAAATACAGGCAGGAATCCAAACCAAGCTCTGAGGAGAGCCTGAGTCGTTTTCCAGGCAGTGAATCCTGTCTGGATGGTAGGAATAGTGCTGCTGTTGGGCTCAGCCTTGGGGTCTGCATCCACCACCACAGGCACAAGAGGCTGAGGGAGCTGGGGATGTTCAGCCTGGAGAAGAGGAGGCTCAGGGGAGACCTTATCACCCTCTACAACTCCCTGAAAGGAAGTTGGAGTCAGGTGGGGGTTGGTCTCTTCTCCCAGACAACCAGCAGCAGGACAAGAGGGCACAGACTCAAGCTCTGCCAGGGGAGGGTTAGGTTGGATATTAGGAAGAGATATTTTGTGGAGAGAGTGCTCAGGCATTGGAATGTGCTGCCCAGGGAGGTGGTGGATTCACCATCCCTGGAGGTTTTCAAGCTGAGACTGGATGTGGCACTTAGTGCCATAGTCTAGTAACCACGGTAGGGCTGGACTCAATCTTGGAGGTCTTTTCCAACCAGTTGATTCTGTGATTCAATTCCCTGCCTGCAGCTCACCCAGTCTGGGCACTAAGCCCAGGATACCAGGATATTGGATACCAGGAATTAGGCTTGAAATTTTGTCACTGTACATGGTCACAATAATGAACAAAGTGGTGCAATTTGCTTGAAGTTAAATAAGAAGTTCCCAGGAATGACTGCAAAATTCTCCAAGAATAGGTCTTAGTGCCAAACCCTTGTCATTTCCTGCAGACCTGTGAGATCAGAGTCTCCTAAGACATGGGGAAGACAAAGATTCTCTTCCTCTATTACAGGACAAACACTTTGCAGCTACAGGCAGAGACAGAAGGCAGTAATGATTTGAAAATGAGATGAAGACACAGTGCTCTTGTGCTCCCCTCAACTCCTGCACTCCTTGTCAAGCAGCAGGGCCAGCTGTGCACACTGAGGGTGGCAGAGAGGAGCTCTGTGAGGGGAGAGCAGCAGCTCAGGGGACTCCAGAGATTTCCTTCTGAGCATCCTGCAGTGAAGGCTCTGCAGACAGAGTGATGCCAAGGCAGGTCCCCGGGCAATGGCTGCTGCTGTCAGAGAAGACATGGGAGACTGGAAGGTGCTGCAGAATGGGTTACAGCAAATGGGGCTTCTGGGAAAGAACCATCAATTCCCTAACTGTCGCACCAGGATCTATTTGAGCCAGCAGTGTCCTCAGGCTCAGCCTGAAAGCCCCAGTTAACAGCTCCCCTTCATAAGGGGAAGGATGAACAGAGATTACACAGAAACAAGGGAGCTTTGATCCAGACTTCCCTGTAACAAGCACTTTTAAAAACTGACAGCAACAGAAATTTGAAGCCTGGCTTCCTGCAGTAATCCTCTGTCTGCCTCTTTGCACCATGGATTGTAGCTGAAGACATTATACAATCTTGTCATATGCCTGAGTGTTCTTACACATGAAAGTGCCAAAGTTACACCAGGGATACGTTAGCTGACCTCATAAGGTCTGTTCCAACTCACTTCTTGTAAGATTAGTTAGTTTCTACAGTTGGGGAAGCAATAAATTACCACCTGCACCAACCTCTGGAGACAAGAATGCAAAGAGAAAGAGGCTGTGGCTGCCCCAGCCCTGGCACTGTTCAAAGTCAGGTTGGATCAAGCCCTGAGCAACCTGCTCTGGTGGGAGATGTCCCTGCCCAGGGCAGGGGGTTGGCACTGGATGACCTCTTAGCTCCATTCCAACCCCTTAATGTACTATGATACCTGTGTTTTCTCTGACGAGAGCCTCATTGCTTCCATGAGCTTCTCCATCTGGTGTCCCTGCTCCAGCGCGTTGCGCAGCACATCCTCCGTGCTGACGAGCCGGTGCTGCAGCCGGATCACCTCCGACTCCGACGACGGGTCGATCAGCGAGTATCGCCGCTGATCCGACACCGACTTCTCCTTGTCCTTATGCAGCAAAGGGAAAAGAGGAGCATGTTAGATCAAACCCAGTCACTACAGAAACTCAGCAAAGGACAAACCTGTGTCAATCCCACAGCCACGCTGGGATTTCAGCAGCAGATGTGGGCAGAGCACAGCTCACATGAAGGACTAGAGAGAATGGCTCTAAGCTAATTCTAATTCTAAGCTGAGACAAAGGAGATTCAGGTTAGATGTTAGAAAAAATTTTGTCACTGTTAGGGTGTTCAGGCACTGGAATATTGCCCAGGGAGGTGGTGGAGTCACCATCTCTGAAAGTGTTTAAGAAGCATTCGGACCTGGTGCTGGAGGGTGTGATTTAGGGTTTAGGGGTTAGAGCAGTGAGAGGTTAAGGGTTGGACTTGATGATCTTAGAGGTCTCCTTCCATCCTTATGATTCTATGATTCAACATGCAACCAGCAGCAGCTCCAGTTTGTTCCCAACAGAGTTCAGACCGATTATTCACATTTCAACCACTGGAGGACACTGAAGTACACAAGAATTAGAGGACACTGCTTATTCTTAGATCAGAAAACTGTAGAACACGTGGGAGAGCTGAACGACCTTTGTTTTCTCCCACGAATTTTAGCCCCTATTAGCCATGGATCTAAAACCCGTGGGAACAGAAAACGCTGGAGAAGGACATATGGACATTTCTGCTGCTTAATGAGGTGCTGCCAAGCCAGGCCACAGCTCACAGGTGCTGTCAAGGAAGTTCCCATCAGATGCTCAGTGGGACAAAAGAAAGCACAAACACCTGGAGCAAGGGTGAAGGGCTTGGACCCCTCACAGCAGCACAGAGCCCTCCAGCGCCCAGGCCAAGCCCCAGGAGGGGTTTAGTGCCCTCACCAGCACAACCAGTTTCTCTCGCAGCCCCTTGATGTCATCTTTAAGCTTCTGCTCCTTCAGCCTCCACTCTGCTTTGTGCACTTCCCGGCTGAGGTCTCGTTCCGGCCCCGGCGAGTGCCGGTTTGCCTCCAGTAACAGTGCTCTCAGCTCATTCAGGCTCCTAGAAGAAGCAGCATGAAGAGGTGAAGACATTTCCAGAGCCCACACAGCACTGGAGTCCTGCTGTGCTTCCTCCCTCCTTTGCTACAGATCCAAAGAAAGGCCAGAGCAAATCCAGCTCAACTCCCAGCACTCCGGGGGCTCAGATGTCCTGTTGTCCCACTGTGTCAGCTTTAAGGAGACTGGGACCTGCACAGGGCTCTGTTTTGGAACAGGGCAGCAGCCAGCTTGCCTGGCTTGTAGGTGACTTCATCCAGCATCTACAAGAGCACTGAGCTGTCCTGCAGCTCCTGGCAAGCAGTGAAAGGGCAGTGCCTTTGAGAATACACAGCCCCTAATTTTAACCAAATTCCCACATCAGCATATCCAAAGAACAGGAAAGCTGGGCCTGGACTTTAACAGTTCAACTTCTACGTTTCTTTTGGTGGTCAATTGCAGCACCCGGAATGAACGTGAATGTACACAGAGCCCCACAGTCTCCAGCTCTGTTCTCCAGACCTGGACACTGACCTTTCCTTCTTGAGCAGCTCCTGGCTAATCAGGACCAGTTGCCCTGAAGCATCGTGTGTTTTCTTGGTCAAGGCTTCCAGTTCCCCTTCCAGCCTCTTCTTTTCCTTGAACACCGAGTCAGCCTTCTTTTCTGCTGTTTTGCATTTATTTTCCAAAGCTACAGAAATTTGGGGGAAGAAGGGTCACTTAGTCCTTTACTTATAATCCTTTTTGCCTTTTCCCAATTCCCACTCCTAAGAGCACAGACCTGGTTAGGTCTGGATCTGACCCTATTTAAGGGGAGATCTCAAACAACACACCCAGCTCCACTAACTTCTGCCTCTTTCAGCTTTTGGCATTCACCAAGCCAAACCCTCCCTCAGAAGATGCAATTATCTTCTGCAGTGTTTTTGTCCAGCTCCTGAAAACAGACTGAAACTCCTGAAGGAATTTTTACCAACAATACCCATGAAAAGACACGCAGCATCATGTTTTACACCAGCCCATTTCAGCACCTGGGCCCTTATTCAACACCAGTACAGAGCACGAGCAGGAAAACATCTCGTTCCCACCAGCACTGGATTAGGGAAACTTACCACTTACTTGGGCCCTTAGAGTTTCAGTCTGGGACACCAGGGATGACACCTCTTTGTCTCTTTTACTCAGCTTGTCTTGGAGGTCTGTGGGAGAATGAAGAGAAGAGACAGAGATTAGAAGGTTGGAAAATGCTCTGGTGAACTGGGAGGGTTTTGGGTGTATGGCACAGTGCTGGTTCCCTCCATCAGCAGAGAAGCAGCAGGAGACAGGTAAAAGGTGTTTCTCATTGCATCTCACCACCATCCAGGCATTTGGAGGTGGGCTGCATAGCCAGGAAGCCACATCAGACAGGTTTAAGAAAGCACCCACAAAGGAGGGGAAAAAGAGAATAAAACATTAATAAAGGCCACCTAAAGGAACTTTAGCACGTATCTTTGTGTCACCTCTACACTGAAAGACACGGATTTAAAAGACATGTTTTCTAGAACTGATGCATTCCCACGCTCAGAGCTGTAGATTTGAAGTTTTTGTGGCTCAAATCTGACCTGGTTGTTTTCAGTCCATCTCTATGGGGCTTATTCAGTGTGGAAACAACATGGACTGAACTGCTGTTTAGAGCAGTGGCTGCTGGACCTAGTTATGTTCTGCTGTCACTAGGCAAGAATTACCTGTCAATCAGCAAACAATTCGGTGTAGAAACACAGAATAGTTTGAGTTGAAAGGGAACTTAAAGCTCATCTTATTCCAACCCCTGCCATGGGCAGAGACAACTTCCACTAGCCCAGGTTGCTCCAAACCCGATCCAACCTGTCCTGGAACACTTCCAGGGATGGGTTATAGCATCTCTGTGCTCTACAGAATCCTGTACCTGCAAAGACAGAGATGAGGCTGATGGACACTGCCAGGCTAGCACTGAGGGCAGATGGAAATAGGACAAAACACCTCTGTCTGAATCCACAAGCAGCTGGAGGGACACTCAAACTGAACAAAGGCTCCATTAAGTATAGTTTAAGCCTGTAGAAGCCCTCAGTAACCACAGTGTAGGCTGCTGCACCCTAATAGAGACTGTCTGGGCCATCCAGTTCTGCTGTTGCTCAGACTCAGGGTCACAGCTCATCCTCTGTGACGGTGGCCGAGTGCATTTCAGTTTCAAAGCTACTTACACACATTTTCTGAGTGCATAAAAGTCCAAGTTTTGTTAAAAAGATGAATTTGATTTATCATAAACTTAACAAAAAGTAACCCTCATTATTTTAAGCCAGTCACATTAATATCTACCACAAATGACATTCAAGGTCTGAATTCTACCTGCTGTAAAAATCACTGATGGGATGGAAATGCACTTATTTCCCTAGATCTGCCTCCAACCTGCACCATCTGCATGGTGAGTGGCTAAGAGAAATAAAACCATCCACCTCTGCATATGCTCAGCTGAATTAGAAGAAAAACAAAGCCAGACAACAAATGATTTCCAGTAAATTCTGAGAGATGAAACAACTTTTTAAGTCCCTTCCACACAGCTGTCCCTGCAAGAGCAGAAAGTTAGAGGACTCGAAAGCACACAGGTCACCAGAACAGGGTTTTCCAAGTACAAACAGTTTCATACCTTCCATAGTCTCCTTCATCTTTATCTTTTCTTCTGAAATATCATTAGTTTCAATCATCTGAAACAAATGTAAAATAGGAGATGTAAACCAGCCTTTCCCCAGAGATTTAAAGCAAAGTTAACCACAAAGGCCCATCCAAAGCAGAATATATCCAGTAACCAAGTCAGGACGTTTTACATCCTTCCTGAGAGGGAAATAAAAGTCTTTTGAGGAGTCACTTCTGCAGCTGAGTACTGCTGAGGCTAACTAGTACCATCTGACAGAGCCCACACACAACCCACAGCAGAGCACAACTGCAGGATTCACCTGGGAGGGAACAGAGCTCAGGCTTTCCCACAAGCTCTGGTTCCTTCTCTGCACACTCAGAGTTTGTGCAGAGCCACTAAAGAGCTGCTTTGCTTTGCACCAAGCTCCTGCTGCTTTTCAGCATTCAGCTCGAGACCTACCAGTCAACAAGGTCCTCAACTTCTGAAGGATCTTTCCATGCCCAAAGTTATACAAACACTGATGAAATAATAATTATTAGGTAATGAATGCATCAATAAAAATAATAACAAGCAAATGCTGGGCATATAGCGGATTCTGCCTTTTCTCCATTCTCTTCTCTATACTTCAGTGAAAAGCCACAGCCCACAGAACTCATGGCCAAACTTGCCATGGCAGAGGCTACAATTGAGCCCTTCAAGCCTCCTCCCTTTTGGTGGGACCTCAGCACATGCCCACACTCAGCAGCTGCAGTGGCCACCACTGCTGAGAGCCCCAAGGTCAGTCCCCAAGAGCTAGGCTGAGCTGTGGAACATGAACAGTAGCAGGAGCAGCCCCAAAGAGGAAATGTGTTTCCTGATGTACTTTTGGTATGGCAAAGCTATTTATCTGCTCTTTGGAAGCACAGTTGTGGTTCTTATTTCAAGGCCTAGGAAAGGCAGTCACGAGACACGTTTGTGTGAAATACTTGGATAGCTAATACTGCAGCCATTTCAAATTGAATAAGACATGTTAAAACAGTTTGCCTTGTGACACTCCAAAGCCTTTCACCCAGGCATTTCTTCCCACATTCTCCTGATTTTAATTGACACACAGTTAAAATAATGACTTCAAGACTCCCTGGTCCTAAGCCAGTATCAGTATCCCCCAGAGCCCTCTCATTTTTCTAAAGGCCTCTGGAACAAACCTCCAGCTTCTTCTTTTCCATTCACTCCTGGTTGAATATCAGCTATAACATGTGACATACTGTAATAACAATCCACTTTTCCCAGGGCCCTGGCTATACTTGTTCCCAGCTGTCTTTACTAGGTGAAACATGCTGGAGTAACCCCTGAAACACCATTTATGCTGTAGATTTCTCCTTGGCTTTTGCCTCTCCTGCCCTCAGTGTGACTTTCTGCAGGTGTGAAGCTCTGACTTGGCCAACAGGAATCCATGGGCTTGACTTTGCTGTCTGGAGCTGCAACTGGTTTCAGTGGGGCTGTTCATGTTGGGAAATTAAACACAGGCATTGAATTCACTTCATAGGCAACTCTTGTGTGGAACAGGGATTACATCACCAGTGAGAGATTTCAACACAGTATTCTTCAAATGTGCACATTTTACAGCTTATTTTCATTTTCTGCATCCCCACATGAACAAGTTGAAAATTGGTTTTTTGCTCATTTCTCATGCAAAATCCAAACATAAATAGTGGTCCAGCCTGGAGCCATGAGCAGTAATCTCCCCCCTCACCCCAGTGCAGAGCCAGCCATGTGTCCCTGTGCCATGCACAGAGGCAGGATGTTGGCATCCTGTGGCAAAGAAAAAAAAAAGCAAAGGATGACTTAAAGAGACACAAAGGCCACAGAAAATTGACCTCTTCATATTATTACTTATTCCAGCCTTCCCTGGGGAGCTCAGGACTTGTAGTCAATCAGGGAATTTATTTCTCCAGCCTGGTGCCATCCCGATTCTTGCTCACAGCTCCTCCAGTGTAATCCTCAAAGTCAACACTTCCCTGTGTCTCCCATGTATGCTGTGAAGCCTCTCCACTGCCTCTGCTCTGCTGCTGACACATATCCCCCAACACACACCTCTCACCCCATCCCACAGCTCAGCCCCCTCACTGCAGCTCCCTAAGCTGCTCCAGGTGCTGAGCAAGCAACTGCTGCTTGCTCAGGATGAGTGCCCACCCTGACCAATCACAACAGCTCTATTCTGCTGCCACAGCAGCCTCCAAGCCCTGACGTGGCCCCACTTGCTTCTCTCGACTCATGTCTCCCAGTTGTCTCACTTTCCAGAGTGGGAAGACACCTTCAGCATGGAGATGCAGCGCACAAAGAGCACTGTCAGTGGAAGGGAAAACATCCAGATGCTTTGAGGCCTCAAAACTGCACCAGGCAGCAGCTGAGGGCTACTGCTAGAAGGGACTACCAACAGTGATGGTAAACAAACCAAATGACTCTGAAGTCATACATTTGCATGCTGAGAAGGATGCAGGGCCTCCATGGACTGCAGCTTGTTCTCTAAGACAAGTACTTTTTCCTGCAATCTTTGGATCTCCTGTTTGCTCTGGGCTTCTGTTTTCTGTAACATTTCATAGTCCAACATCTTCTTTTCAGCCAAAGAAATCTGCTCTTTCAAGAAAGCTATCGCTTGTGTCTGATCTGTGTATTCACCATGGAGTTTCTCCAGTTCATGCATCCTCAGCTCAGCATCTCGACACTTGTCCTTCACATCTTGGAGCTCGAGAAGGTGCTGACTGCTTTTGGTTTCCAGTTGCATTTTCCAGTTGCTGTTGCTTTTTTCCACTTCATCCAAAGCCTCCTGCAACTTCAGTTTGAGACTCTCTTTCTCCTTTATATGCACAGCAGTCTCAATGTCATGCTTTGCTTTCAGGTTCTCCAATTCAAGCTGGTGCTCCATCTTTATACTCTCCACCACTGCCTTCAGCTCCACAATCTCCTTGTGCTGGGTGTCAGGGCCTGAGTTCAATGTGGCTTTCAGGTCCTCCAGAGACTTCTGGTGGTCAGAAGCTAACGTGTCCAACTTGGACTTCCAGTTGTCCATGAGCCCCATGTTCTCATTAGTGGCTTGCTGAACTTTATGCTTTAGGTCAACGATTTCCTGCGAGTACTTCTCATTGACAGACTTCAGCTTCTCCATCTCCTGCTGGTACTTCTTTAACGTCTTCTCATACTTCTCTTTGAGCTGGCTGCTCTCCTTCTGATGCTCCTTGTTGGCAGACAGCAGTTGATCCCGCAGTCGAAGAGCCTCTGACTGCAGGCCCAGGGAATGCTCAGGGGTCTCTGCTTGGTGAGAGCTCCTGAGGCACTGCCGGAGCTCGTCCACCTCGCTGCGTCTGAGGCTCAGCTCCTCCTCCAGCTGCAGGATTCTGGACTTCTCCGCTACCGTGGTCAACTGCAACACAACAGAGAACACAGAGTCAGGGCCCACCTCTCACCACTGCACCCTGCTCTTGTAGTAAGGGTGCTCCAGTGGGAGTAAATCCAAAGTATATTAGTCAAAGTTCAAACAAACACCCAGCACCCTCCAGCTTGAGCAAAGTTTTGCACCAGGGTAAAGAGCACTGATAATTCAGTTACATTTGTGCCAAATAGCAGCTTGTTTTTTCCTCATACAAACCTGGAAAAACACACATCTTGGGGAAAAAAACCTTGAAATTCACTGGAGAGCAACAGTGGTTTATGAAAAATAATGTCCTGGAAGGGCATTATATTTCCAGACCAGGCATCTTGCTAGATAATGCACAGAGATGTGACTGCACATGCAGGAAGATCACAAGCATCGAAACCAGCATTAAGCATATCATGTTTCCTTTATTGCTCAGCAATCCTCAGCCTACAGACCTCTCTCTTCTGTATCATAATTTGGTTACCCTGGTGTAAAAAAGGGATTTTTACACATGAGTACTTGTTAGAGTTTATTAGGAAATAACGCAGGAGGCTAGAGGATGCAAGACAATAAATCTGGCCATGGTGAGCACAAGGGCTATGGATCAAATGTCTTACAATCTGAATGTAACCTGGCAGGGCTGAGCTACCTGTGAGTCACAGGGAGTTCAGGGTTCTGCAGCTATGGATGGAGAAGAGATTTGACTAGATGAAATACTAGCAAAAGGCAGAAGAAACAAGGAAACCAAGCCAAAACCCAACTGATCAATTCAACTCCATTTCAATTGCCATTTCCCCACCAGCCACTGGCCCAGGAGGCTGGTGGTGGTGATTTTAGATGGGCACAGATGGGTTTGAACCATCCTGACCTTTTGGAGACCCTCATGATTGTGTTTTCTGCAGCTCTCAAACCCATCAGTGAGAAATGAGCTCACTGCGGCAAGTTTGTGCTTCCCACACCACAGCAGCATGAAAAAGCCCTTTCCACATCTGGCTGCTTTCAGGATTCATCCTGGCAACCTGTCCTGCTGCAGGCACAACCAAGGATCAGAGCTGGCCCACCTGCATCCACCAGTACCTTCCATTTCAGGTGGCAGCTCCCTCAGCTGGAGCGAGGACAAAGGGAATGCTGATTGCAATGTTATTTCCTATTACAGCCTGGGAGGGAACTCGAGGCAGAATGAATTGTGCAGGGTGTAGATATTATTGGGGTATGTTAACTGAAAAATGAATTGTGAAAAGCTCATGTGTCAGATGGTGACATGGGGCAGAGAAGCAAACTCAGTCTGAGAAACAAGTCCCCACACGAGAAGCAAAGCTAGAAATCATATCATACTACTATTTCCAGGAGAGAGGGAGTGAGAGAGAGGGAGAGAGAGAGAGAGAGAGAGAGAGAGAGAGAAAGAGAGCAAATAAAAACCAAACCAAAAAAATCAGGGAAGCTTAAGTTCAAGCCAAAAATCAATCAAGCCCACAAAACCCAAAAGAAAGAAACCCAAAGCAAGGCATCATGAGCATCAACGCAAGGGCAAGCTGTTCTGCAGGCAGGGCAAGTGGGGATCCATTACCCTGGTGTCCTCTAATTCTCTGAGGAGTTTTTCAGCCTGTGCCTTCTCAAACAGCAGGCTCTGCTCGAGCTCCCGTATTCGGGCATGCTCCAATTGCGTCTGAGTCTGGTCACACATAGGGAAGAAAGAAGAGTGGAGATGGGAAAAGGGGGAGGGAGGGAGAGAGAGAAAGAGAAGGAAAGAGAAGGCTGCAACATCATCTCCAGCATACAAGACAAGGAAAGGCAGTTCACAACAGGAGGAAAATAAAGATCCAAACAAGGAGGAGAAATCCAACCAAACAGTCCCTATGGGATTTTACGTGGTACTCGTAGGGGCTATTCACAAGAAAATTGAATCTGTGATGGGAAACCATCCTTCTGCATTAGAAACATGCTGCAGTGTTTCCAATGCAGAGGGAAGCAGAGGGGCAGCACTGACAGGACCCCAGGGAACGGCCTGAAGCTGTATCAGGGGAGGTTTAGGTTGGATATTAGAAGAATGTTCTTCCCTCAGAGGGTGTTTGGGCACTGGAATAGCTCCCCAGGGCAGTGGTCACAGCCTGACAGAGCTCAAGGAGTGTTTGGCCAATGCTCTCAGGCACAGGGTGGATTGTCAGGGAGTCCTGTGCATGGCAGGAGTTGGGACTAGATGATCCTCAAAGGTCCCTTCCAACTCTGATTATTCTGTGTTTTCCTGCAACAACTGAAGACACTTCCTACAAAGCAAAGCTCCGACCAGTACAAGGCTCTTGCACCACACAGAGAACGCAGAGACCTTGCAATGATCCTCCACATCTCTCCTCAGGAACCACAAGGCAGACTGAAAAGAGTTGGAAGTTCCCATCCTCTTTTTGTTCCAGAGTCAGCTTGAAGGCTGCACTAAGTGGGAGAAAAAGCAGGTCATACTGGCCACTGTGCTGTAAAACCAGAAATGCACTGCACTGAAGCAGATCAGAGAAACAGATACCAAGCTGTTCTACAAATCACTGCTTTGGGTTTGCATAGGGCTGACATGATTTTCAAAGTGATTTTTTGCATACTAAGACTCTACCAGCCTTGGCACAAGAAAACAGAACTATTTTTTGTTGGTTTTGCTTTTTTGGGTTATTTTGGGGGGTTTTTTTTAGACAAATGATTAAACTAAGCCCAAGGAGTTTATGTAACCTGCCCAAATCCAGCAGCACTGACTCTGGGTGTTGCTTCAGTGCCCTTCACTTTTAAAGCAAAAGTGTCCCAAAGCTGCACGGGGTGGCAAACCTCAGCACTCCACAATGACCACTGTAATAGCATGTAAAATTTCCCATAAATAAAAAAGGAGACATGGGATAATGCATGGAGACTGTGGCCTTCACAACTTTTTAGCTTAGAAAACCAACATGTTCCTTGTGGAATTCCACTGGAGCTACCTGAAAAAGCAAACAAACCTGCTCAGAACCAATTTTTAACCCCCATTTTATGCCCTTCATTTTCCATATAATTATTTGCTTCCCCCTTTTTCTATTGGAACCAGCTTTAAGGATTTTCTGCCCTTCCCTACAATAAAGCAAGTTTTGTTAGTTGTATACAAATGATGGAAACTGAAGTTTGCAAAAACTCATGTTTTATGGCTTGAAAAATATCACTGTACATGTACTGATAGATGGCAAAGATCTGAACTGCCAGCTGAGTTCAGGCTACTCCATATTTTAGCTGTCTCTCTGAGCCCTGAAGGAGGGAAGAAAGATGTGGTCTCAACCACCCAAATATCATCAAAACCACCAATAATACCACTTAAGTACAAAGGTTGGCTGAATGCATCCTCATAAGAAAAATAAATACTTTAATTAATGAAATACAATTAGTTCTGCTCTCTGCAAAGCTCAAAGATCCACATAAAGGTGGAGCTCCAGGATTGATTTTACTCACAGGAATAAATACTCCATTGATACTAGTGACTTAACTGGGGGCAGCACATCAGATAGTGGCTACCTGAAGATGCTGACCAATTACAAGAGTCATCCCTGGACCTCTCAAAGAGACTGTCAGCACTCTTCAGGCTGACACTCAAGTTTCCAGCCAAGATATCTATGTCCCATCTGATATTCTTGCTCAGTATCTATTAATCCTGCTATTTTCCAAGTCTGTTCAGTTCTGGGCCCCTCAGTTCAGGAGGGCCATTGAGGGGCTGGAGCAGGTCCAGAGAAGAGCAAAGAGGCTGGGGAAGGGACTCTAGCACAAGTGCCATGAGGAGAGGCTGAGGGAGCTGGG